TTATCATACTTATACACGTCATTAAATTTTTATCATAATTTTTTTTCTTCCATAAAATATTAGTAGAGAAACTATATTATTAAAACATGTATTACCTCTATCCTAATTTATGAAAAACTTTTATACAAAGTCACACAAACATGTACCAATAAAGGTATTAAATATATTTTATAACTTTATTTTTGAAAAAATAAAAATATAAATTTTTAAAAATGCCTTTTATTTGAGGACCTCGTTGAAAATGAAACAATCAAACCACAAACACGCACACAAAATATTCTTCATTGTTTCGCATCCTCTGAAGAATTGAGTGTAATGTTGTGACCAACTGACCATCACTTTCTCTATATATTAATATAAATATAAAATAATAAATATAAAAAAAATTAATATTGTTCACGGCTCCACAGTGTTCACAGCTGTATAATTTAGTTTGGACTCCATACAATTATATAATAATTATACAAGACTTCTTTAATTTTTTTCATGAATTAAAACTCACAGTTTTAAGTTTGCAAAATTTGTAATCGAGACACCTTTTAAAAAAAAAATTAAAGTATCTTTTTAAATTATACAATTAAGTTTTTTTTAAAAAAATTATTCATAAGAGATCAGGAATTGCCATGATAATTTTATGTCTTGCTTGGTAAACAATAATTAAAATAAGATTTATCTAAAATAATTCTTTTTTAATAAGCTTATTTCAAAATCTAATTAATTGACGCTGCTTTTGTGACTTCTTTTGTAAAAAAGCAAAAGTTTAGATGAATTAGGATTCAAAAACCTACTAGAGTCATGACATGCCTTCAAAGTCAAATAATGCTTATAGAAGTATTGACAAATCATTTACCAATAAGGGTTCTTAGCTTATTTGATCTCATTAATATAGTATATTTAGAAATAAAGCAAGGACATAAATTGCTTCATAATTATTCCATACCTTTATTGCACACTTTCCTCAATTAGGCATGCATAACCCATTCTTTCATATCACGTTCTCTTATAGAAAAAAGTAATAAGAAAATGATGCAAAACTTTCCCAAAAAACTAAAGTTTAAACATAATCTAAAACAATCCGACCGTTTTGATTATTATCAACCCAAAGTTAGTGTAAGGGGACACTTTTGAGTGTACGAATTCTGGACCAACCCATTAGGGTTATTCCCACAATAAAGTAGAAAAAATGGCTAATTTACAGCAATACATTAATATCATTTTTATACAATTATCTAATATGAAGTATTATGAAATCCAATCAAATTTAATTATATTATCATGCCAAATTAGAAAAGCTCTTTCGACATTTTGTACCATATTTACGATGCTCAAATCCTTAATTCTCCTTAAATCCCTTTCACTCATCTAACTCAACATTAGTTGTAATTTTTTTTCCTTAAATTTTTATATATACAACCAATTATTAGGTTATATTTTAATATTGTTAAACCCAATTAGGTAAAATTTCCCTAGCGTGATGTCTGCATCCACATATAAGATTCAAATTCTTAATGATTATCTCTAGATTAGTTATTACTAATTTATCATTGTCAACTTCACATCATTACTACTCAGATCTCCAAACTGTAAATTTGCATTATGACAGCTTCACAATCTAATGACCAACACTTTTAACAAACCATAATTGATATAACAAAAATTAATGGAGTTTGTAATTATTTGACTTATAACCCACAATGTCATAAATTCATATCTCACTACTAAAATCTTTTATTAATAGGTAATTTGTAAAAAAATTTGTGAACACATTTTAAATATGAAGACATGCTCTTACCTTAATGGAAACCCAACTCACATCAACTCGTTAAAAAAAAAAAAAAACTACAGATAATTGATGTTCCACTATCTTTCACTGGACATTCTTGTGCTACTGCTTAATCACGTGAGTTGGTAATGTCCATCTGCTTAATCATTTGTGAAATTTACTAAAGAACCATACAACTTTCTTGATTAAACAAAATTTAAAACACAAGTAATTGACCATGGTCAAATATAAGAAGAAAGAAAAAGTTAGGTAGGCAAGTTCTGATGATGTAACAGAAGCAGAATCATGAGGATGACGGATGACATGAAAATCAACATCTTCTCTGCTAGTTTCTGGAGGAGGAGGAGAAGAAAACTGAAAAAGTAAGAGAAAGAAATGAAGGCGAGTGAAGCAAAGTCGCAACCTAATGATAAATATGAATAACGTTGCAGAAAAAGAACCGAGCTGGATATGAATAAAGTCGCTGCTTCTGCCACAAAGACGTAAACCCACATACGGACAATTCGTTGATTCTCATTTCAATGCATCATCACTCACACACTAACACCAACATTGTACAACACAAACACGTATCTCTGTGCGTCTGTGTGTGGATACATCAGATCTTCATGAAAATGGCTTCTGATTTAGAGATCTCAGAAATATGTTGGAGGTGGTAAGAAATAAACCCAGAAAGTCTCTTACAGCAATAAGACAGACAGGAAGATCGTCAAAAAAGCAAAGAGGGCTCTGCTTCAGATATTGCAACTAATTAATTAACAAGCACGTTCGTTGACAAAATCTCAAGATTCATGTTGCTTAAGTAACAATGTTGAGATCACAAATGTGAAGCCTTACGTGGAAGGTATATATTTTTGTTACTATTCAAGGAAAGTGACAAGTAGATAGCTCCAAAATACAAGCACCAATTATTGAATGCAAATACTCGCTCAGAACCATGATGGATGTGAACATGTAGCATTTAGCAAAAGGTTCGATGCTATAAAATTTGAGATCACTCTTTAGGTCAATTTACCAAGTCTGCTATATCATTTTAAACATCACTCATCATATCATTTCTTTTGTGTGCACTCCCTCCCTCCCTCTCTCTATAGATAAACCTAGATACACCACAATCACTTCTTATACCGTGTAACAAACAACAAATCCTTTAAATCAGTGACAAGGAAGTTGAACAAGTTTCTTACCCCCCCCCCCCAAAATGTGCACCTAGTGTCTAAAGTCTTTTGACCTCAACTAATCCAGATCAAGCCAGGTTAAACCACAAGGGCGGCACATGCTCCCAATAAGTATTTAACACAACTACATACCCAAGGATCGAAATTGAAACCTAGTTAAGCTAGCACAGTTTCAAACCAGCTAAGCTACAGGTTTTTGGAAACAAAACATGGTATCTATTATCGTGGACCTAGGTTTAAGCATCAATGAACCTAGATAAGAGGAAACTGTACTAATAGTCTCTTCTACTAGACCTAACCAATGTTAATATACAGTAAAATACATGCAAAATAAGTGCCAATCAATGTGAGCATTCAGGGGTGCAATAAATTATAAAAGAAAGTCACAAGTGGGCTGTAAATCTTGCATGATCTTTTATTTCAGAACAAACAACACCACCAAATGCCTCAAAGCCAAGGAAAATAATAGACACAAGAAGAACATCATCACACTTGGAAATTTCAAGTGCTCTCATGTAATCCTAAATGTCATTTTCTGTCCAACATGAGAGTACCAACATTTTTGTGTGCGTGTGTGTGTGTGTGAGAGAGAGAGAGAGAGAGAGAGAGAACCAGAGACACTGCCCCTTCACCTACCATTTAAGTCATGGGGCAAGCAAGCAACAAAACAAAATGGCAAGAATATGCCAACCACATGATAAAATCCACCACCTTGTTATATATATATATATATATATATAATGTGTGTTTCAGACAACTAGAGGAGGATGGCATGTGCAAGAATGGATAATTCAGGCATGCACTGAAGATAGACAGTGATTCATTTTTTTATCAGAGACAAGAACAAGAATATAGGAAAAAATATAATAATCAACACACGTTTAATCTTTCAAGGACAGACAGGAATTTTCAACAATTATACTGTAATGGAGAAATGATCAGGATTAGTATTTTAATCCATGTTTTGTTCTCAAACGAAACAATAAAAAATTGATGGTGACGGCGAAAGAGATAAACAAATCAATGAAAAAAAGACGAGTATGATCAACATCATCAGTGCATAAAAATCAATTAAGGTGCTTATAATGCCGCTTAAAGTGAAGCATCAACAATCTCAATAACCACATTAAAGCTATTAGACAACAAATCTCTAAGAGCCTTTCATTTCAGCTTTTTGATCACACAAAACGAGCCGGCGGAAACACTTGCTGAGTCAAAACAAGTGCCCAAGAAGCATAATCTCTTTACCTATCATAGAAAACCAAGCATGTATCATAAATTGTGCGTTTCATACCTCAGAGACTCCTGCAACAATGTACATAACATACACCTCCGAAAATGTTGGATCATATAGAAGAGACAAAAGACAATGGTATGAATTCCACATAGAAAAAAGGAAATCAAAAGACTGTGTTTATTCATGTATATATACGTACAGGAACTTGGGGTTGTTATGATTAATAAACTACGAACTAGCATTAAAGTACAGGAATGAAGGTGACATAACAGCTACTTTTTAACGTTAGAGTGTAAAGCAGCTGTATTTTTTTTCCAATTTGTGCACTGAACCAAAACCAATAAAGCTGAAAGAACAGAAACAAGGGCCAATAATGTAAAATAATATCATCTTCTCCGGAGGAAAAAATATCATGAAAATAGTATATCATGCTCGCATAAACAGAAAGAAGCACATTCAATACTATGTACAGAAATATAAATTCTGATAACATAATATAATATTAAAAAAATAAGAACTTTCATGATGATCAATACTATTACACTGTGCATTTCCTCTTATGACAAAATTACCTCAATTCTTACAAAAGAAAAGGAAAAATGTAAAAATAATTAGAGTCATGAGTGGAAACAAGGACAAGGCAAACAGTAATATATTACAGATTTATAGTAGGCAAGTTCTTAGACTGTTCATGAAGATGAACATTTGAAAATAAAAAAAAAAACATGCTTTCTCAGTTTTCCTTTAATTTTGTTATTTTGGTGGACTATGCTCTCTACAGTCACACAATGTAGATCCCTCGTCATTAAATGCTCATTTTATGAAATGACAGAGACAAATTGGCTACATATATATATATATATATATTGTACGAATGAAGCCAAAGGAGTTCAAAAGTGGGGAGTGATACACATTTTCAATAAGATACAGGATTTGATTACAAGCCCAGAAGCTCCTCCAATAATCGCCACATGAAGAAGAATCATTTTAATTAGCTTACAAATTAGTGTTAATTTATTGGATTACCATAAGTTGATCCTCCTCCAAGTAAGCCACCACCTGAAGCTGCATAAACATCAGAGGGATCCAGCATTGGGGATGAAGATGAAGCCCCATTTCTCCCATTGCCGGAGCTGCCAGCGCCGCCAAGATGAAGCTCCGATAAATTTGGATACACATGTCTACTTTCAACCCCTTGGTCATACAGAAACCCTTTGAATACATGGCCGCAAATCTTCACAGTCGTCTGATAGGCAAACTCGTCCTGGCCGGCATCGTCCACCGCCGTCACCCGAACACACTTGAACACCGCCGGAGCTCGGACTTGACCCGGCAGTGATTCCTTAAAACCCGCATCTGCACATTGATTCAATCAAAACCCTCCTCAATTTTTCACTTCAATTTGCTGAACTAACTTAACAATTCGTATAGATATATCAGAACTTGACAAACTATAAGAAATGAAAAGATTAGCATGAAATATAGAGAAAGAAACACAGACCTTGATGGCTTGAGCTAGTATCGAAGCTTCTAGGAGGAGTGGTATTAGATGTGGAAGTGTGAGAGTTTGCTGTGGTTTGTTGTTGTGATGTGACAAGTCTAGGTTTCTTGGAACCAGAGGTAGCCCCGATGGATCCACCAGCCGTCGCTGCCCCAGCGGCAGCAGCCATCAGGCGGCGTTCCCTCCGTCGAGACTCCGGCACCCACGTGCTCTTCACGTGAGTAGGGCAGTCGTAATTCCGACTTTTGCAGCAAGTCCTGCACCTCCTGTAAGTACAATCCTTCTTCGCTTGGTTGCCACAATCCTGGCACGTCGTTCCACCACTGTTCGTGGCGGAGGCGGTCAATCCATTGTCGTCCCGAACCAGATTTCCAGCACTGTCGTTGAGCTCAAACATCATCGTACCTTGTTTCTTCAAATAATGACCATGCTCGGACTCCTGGTCTTGCCACAGCTGAATTGCGCCACCTCGGCTTCGATTACTCATCAATGTCTCGTTCTCGGCGCTGATGTTAGATGGGCCGAGACAAGGCGTGGAGGTGAGAAGAGGAATAACACCGACGCCGAGCGCAGTCGCGGGGTTCGAGCTGTTAACCGAATGAGGATCGGTCATGACAGACTGGTCATGGTGGTGGTGGTGGTGGTGGTGGTGAAATGACGACGCCGGCGCGACGACATAGAGATCGCGGAGGCCGAGCATGCCTCCCATCTCCGGCGAGAGACCGTAATTGACTGACCTCGCGGCAGCACCAGACCACATTCCTGAGGTGGGACCTGCGGCGGTTCCCCCGGCCGCAGCAGCGGCAGGTCCGGCATTGAAGCCGAGGGAGAGCTCGTCGGCGGGGACAGCACGGCCGGCAGAAGAAGCTACCCAATCAGCAAAAGCGCCAGAATCAGAAGGCAACCTCCTTGCGGTAGCCACAACTGAAGATATATACGAATACCTCTCAATAGGCGTCTCCCTCTATATATACACACACAAAAACACAAAAACCAATAAGATCTTCTTCTGAAGGCAGGAAGACAATTTATGTAATCAAGTGGGGTCTCTGCAAATTTATCAGAAGGGAATTTGCTGAGAGAAAGCGAGAGAGAGAAAATTTGTGAGAGATTGATAGATAGATCTTGTGGTTAGGGTGGTGGGTGGACCTTTTTAGTGTATTTTGTTGTTCTTGTTCTCTCTCTAAATGAACAAGAGAGAGATAAACGAACCCACTACGCTTCTGCTTCTTCTTCTTCTGGTTCTGCTGTTTCTTTCTTCTTATGCGATTCTGCTTTCTTCTGCTTCTTTTTTGCTGCTGTTTGTGTTGGAGGGTTACTACTATATCAAACTACGACTGTCTGTCACTTTGGCTTCTTTTTACAGAAAAAAGAAAAGGTTTTTCGGTCTGTGAGAAAGAGAGAAAGAGAGAAGTATTAGTGAGTGAGTGAGAGAGTGAGGTAGAACAAAAACGCAATAACGACATTTCTTCTTACTCTGTATTTTACTGTCGTTGTAACTGTTGTCGCCGATCTCAATCTCTCTCTATATCTCTCTTATCATCACCATCATCACTATCATCTCCTTTTATCTTTCTCCTTCAATCTTTAGCCTAGCTTCGTTCGTTTCCTTCTTCTTTTCTTCTCTGTGCTTTCTTTCTTTCTCTCACTATCAAAACAAAACCCCAAGTTTTATCTTCTCTGGTTGGGATGATCCCTTTTATTATATATCTCAAACTTTTGTTCTCTCGAAATAATCCTAATCGGGTTTCCTATAAAGCAAAACAGAAGGAGGTGGGTTCCTTCCAAACAGGTCTCTCTCTCCAATTATATAAGTCTGATAAGATAACTATTCTAGTACAGAGGTAGAGGGAGAGGGGGGAGAGAGAGTGATGAAAAGATGAATGTAGACTTTTGTTGTCTAGTTTATTGTAATCTTACGGACACTATCTCTCAAAAGTCACATGAGGCCTCTCATTGCTCCTTGGCGCGTGGTGCATTCGCCACCCCACGAATTTTAATTTGTTTTCAATTTTTTTATAAATATTTACTGTTAAAAATTCTGCCTTTGATTTGTGAACTTTTCAGACTTAAATTAATCTTCAAATAAAATAGAATATCACAAGCCTAAATATAATTATATTTTTTAAAAATAATTACTCCCTCTGATATTAGTTAGTTATATGGTGGAGGGAGAATAATTTTTTAATACTCCCTTCATCTAATATACTTCTAAACAAACTTTTATATATTAATAAATTTTATTAATTACATGTAATAATTTTATTTTTTTAAAATAAAATATAAACTTTTAAAAATATCTCTCATTCAATATGTTAAAAAAAGAAGGGATAAAGATTAATTATAAAAGAAAAAGGTTAATGTTAAAATTAGTTCATTTAATGAAATTTTAATATACCCAAATCTTTTATATTTTGAGACAAAAAAATTCTTTTAAAAGTGCCCTATAATTTTGAATAGATAGTGTTATTTATAAATCACATCATTAATAAATGTCTCTAAATTGGGGAGAGAATTTTCTCTCTTCTTTGGAGAGCTTTTATCTTTCTTTTCTTTACCCTAATTGTCTTCTACCTTTGCTTCTTGTCCTTACTATTAGCCTTCTATCTTTCATCGGAGAGTTTGTCTCCATACTTTCTCCTCCCTGTTCGATTTTTTAGGTATTCTAAATCTTCTTCTTCCTTTATTTCTTTCATCTTTTTTTTTTCTATTCTTAACTCAACCGCCTTCTTTTGCAATCTCTATCCATCGCCTTACTTGACCATCGCTTCCATATTCTTTGTATTGTTTTGGTTTTATCACATTTCCCATCTCTACTAACTCTTTCGTTGTCCATCGTTCCTCCTTTTTTCTGGCATTGCCTTTCTACTTTCTTTAACCTACACTGCCTTTCTCTTTTTTATATTATCTTCTACTACTCCTCTGCTTATACTCTCTTCTTTAGCACTTTAATTTTCCTTTCCTTTCCCTTATCCTATGTCTTTAGGTTTTCAATTGTTTTTTAATTCAGGCTTTATTGTTTTTCTCAACCCTCTTGTCTTATTGTTAGATAATTTATTGCTTAATCCTAGATTTCTTGGTTTGAGTTTGCATGAATTGAGTAGTGTCATGCTTTCCCTTATTATTCTAGGGTACTCATCCCTTCATTTTCTAGTTTAGCTACCCATCTTCTACGTAAATTTTCTCCAATTGCCCTACTAATGGAATTTTGGTCATTGGATGAACCATGGTCTTTGAATCAGTAGTTATGGGTCGCTATTTCTAGGTTTTATGCCTTTTATCCGAGATCTATTTGTTCTCATTTCTATGCCTTTGTGGCATTCTTTTCATGAAGATAGGTTTTAATTATTTTTGCATATGGTTTCATCTCATGCTATAATGTCCCAAAATTTAAGAATTAATTAAATTAGTTGATGAGTTTAAAAATTAATTAAGGTAATTATGGCTTAATTGAGGAGTTTGGATGACCGTTTAGGTCCGTGGGGAACCTATATAAAGCTTAGAATAGGGCATAGGAAGTTATTGGACCGCTTTTTACCTAAATTATTGAGCTTTAGCAGGGTTGTTGTTTTGGGCAATTCACCGCGATGGATAGTGTTATGCGTCATGGCAAATGTAACATCTCAAAAAATTTTCTCATGATTTTTTAACCTAATAAAGGATAATTATGAAAATTTAAGTATAATTGGATTTAAGGATAGTTGGAGATATCTATTAGGTTTGGCTTTAGCATTTGGATTAGGTTCGGAAGTGAATTCAGTCACCCAGGCTTAAATTGTAAAGAGAAATTAGATTTTTAGCTCACAGTGCGTTATGCTGCAGCATAAAAAAATTATGTCATAGCATAATTTTTTGAATTAATTTTCAAAACATGAAAATCAATTCAAAAAACAAAGTGTGGGATCTGAAACAAAGAGGGGGCGATCAATAGAGTGTTTTCTCTATTAGGACATCAACTCTTAGGCATTTTAGAGGTATTTGAAGCTTGATTTCACCTAGGTATGCCTTCTTTATCTTTTCTTCTTCCCTCTACACGTTTTGGAAGTGAGATTCAAGGTTGGAAGATGATGATTTTTAGATTTAAGGCTATCAGTCCGAACCCATTGGTCTAAATGGGACTAATGGGAGTTGCTTAAGTATTCTACACATGGTTTAGAAGTTTTTGCAAGGTTGTAAGCTTGGGTCATCCATTTTGAATGAATCCTAAACCTCTAAAGTGTGATTTTGGATGGTTGGGTATTATGTTAGTGATTATTTAATTTAATAGAAGCTAAATGGAGTTAATGAGAATTAACAAACCAAATGGTTATACTTAAGTGCAAGAGATTGAAATTTTGAGTAATTAAAGTGTTGGTTTATGGAAGTTGGAAGAGTGTTTATGATGATTTTAATAATGATTGGTATAATTAATTATAAATCAATCATCTTGTGCATCATTAAAGCTTTGGTATAGCTTGTGAAGGACTTTTATTAAGAGGTAAACTTTTGACCTCTCAAAGGTTTGAGGTAACTAGAGGAAACCCAATTTTTTATAGTTAAATATTAATTAATTATTTATTAAAATGGTTGATTTGGAATATGTTTAATATTTTTAAACTCATGATGCAAACTTGGCATGGTTGGTAATATATTATTATTGTAAATTACATGTATGTTCATATACATGCTAATAGTGATAATGAATGAGAAATTATGATTATGTACTAGTTGATGTATAGAGTGAGTTAGGTGTGAGTATGGATATTTGGATTCATGATATGAATGGTTGATTAGAATGCATATACATATGTGATATACGTGCATAGCATGATCATTGGCGGGAGTTCGTCTAGGAAGAGGAGTAGTTGACTAAACCCACATGGTATTAACAACGACCGTTAGAATCGAAAGCTTGCCTTGGCATCAACCGCTGGAATCAGGAGGTAGCCCTTTTCCCATGGTGGATCTAAGACTGTCCCACTTGTTTTACGAGAGACTTGAACCTAACTATTATCCACCAGTTCATGAAAAGGTTAGATTAAATGTACGACACCCCATGGTTGTTAGTATTTGGGGAAACTAGATTACACAAGTGAGTGAGTTGACTATATCCTAATAGTTCCTCATAAGTGGAAGACTGGGTTAATCTATGAAGGGCATAAATCGGAGCTAATCAGGAGGATATAAGGTTGGCATATGATCATGCATTTAGTTCCGGCCACATGGTTGTTAGTATTATGGTTCGGTGCTATTTAGGGGTGCACGTTTGATATTATTGCGATCCCAAGTTGTGTATTATTGATACACACACACACACACATATGATTATATGTTTAAAGCCTGGTCATATAGTTGTTACCGTGGTGGCCGAGGCTATACGTTATCTTACATGTTTATGTGTGCATTTATTGTCAATTACATTCGTTTCTGATTGATATGCAACTATATAGATTAGGTGAAACTTAGTTATTGAGTAGTTATACTCACCCTTAATTCTCAATATTTTTAAGGCCTAGCTTATTGGGTCAAGACCAGGGAAAATGAGTTGAGGCATAGGATTGTAGAGTAATCCTTTGTATGCCTCTTTATGTTGCTTTATGTGTATTAAGAATGTTAATTTGCCAACTAGGAATCACATGAATATTTTTTGCACTACTTGCATTATTATTGTATCACACTTGTGGGTTAGTGAGTTTTGGTTGTAAACCCTAATATTGAGCCAAAATACTTATGCAAGTAGGAATATGTGTATTTTGACTGGTTTGGAGTGAAAACGATTGTTTTGTTTTGTGCAAAAAATTTCTCCCCTTGTGTTTTATGTGTTATGGGGTTGAGTAGTAAATTTGTGATATATGTGTTTTTGATTAAGTATGGTGTATTGCACCAGTCTTATAAAGTCTATTGAGTATGTAGTCTATGGGTGATTATGAGCTTACGGCACTTGGTTGTGATTTTGAACACCCTTATTATGTTTTGAAAACACAA